ATTGGTTGTTGGGAGTATCGTCAGAGAGTGAGAAACACTGTGTGTCCTCTCCCCATCTGTGCATGGTTGTGCTTCCGCTGTCTACTTTGATCTGTATGCAGTTTGGACTCTGTCTCCTCTCCCCCTTCTCTTATGCATGTATGGGCGTGTATGAGACTGTCTGTGTGTGAGTGGCGGTAAAAAACATCAGAAAACCAAGTTCATAACAACTTGAGGTCCACCATAGCCATGGCCGCCTCTCCCACTCTTCACTCTCATAGGCCGAGGCTATGGTGGACTACTAGGCTTTGCCCAGATGTCCAAAGGACAACCCAAAGCAGCTATGGCTGCCCTAGCTCAGGCCGCCATGCCTGACTCTGCCTCGAAGCTTCTTNGCTATGGCGGAATACTAGGCTTTGCCCAGATGTCCAAAGGACAACCCAAAGCAGCTATGGCTGCCCTAGCTCAGGCCGCCATGCCTGACTCTGCCGCGAAGCTTCTTGGTGTAGCTCAACCCCCGCTGGGGCCTTCCTGCTGCAGCGCCCACCAAGGTGATGAAGATGGCTGCCACCATAGCCAGGTAAGTACCTCTGGCGCTCCTCCCCCTTCCTGTCCTTCTTCCTCCTCCGAGTCCTTGCTTCTTCCCCAGCAGCGCTGCGCCAGCCAGCGCTCCAACCAGTGTGTTGCCAAACTTGCACACCGACAATGAGGCTGGGCTCTTCGCCTGGCCTGGAGATATAGCAGCCTGCTTGCCTCTTGGGCGGTGACTTCCAGGCCGCTCGGCCTTCCTAAGCAACCGGTACCTCCTCCCTTTCGGAGGGAACCATCATTGCAGACTCTGATATTGCCTTTACAGGCCCTAGACTCAGACTGGTTGGACTGGTACCCGCCTAGACCAAGCCTACAACTACTGGGCCTCTTCAAAATGTCACTTTTGTCTTCTTCTGCTCGGCCTCCAGTACCCGCACATCTACCTCTTCAGGGTGCGGTACCGGCCTACCTGCTACTTGAGTGTTTTCCCCCGTTGCAATCCCTCAATGTCACGGCCACAGGTAAGTACCGGCCCTGAGGGCCCAACGAACGAACAAGTGCCCTTGCGGGCCACACAAACACTCAAGCCAACCAGCACTCAGACAGACATGCAGTCCAGCAAGCGTGCATAGTGCATACACAAAAAGAATTAGAGAACTTAGTAGCAAGCGGGGAACTCAGCAAGGCATTCAGTCTATGAGCAAAACTCAGAAATCAGCTGTGTTTCAGTCCCTGTTTTGTCGGGTCATCACATGAGAGTAAAGCCTTGCACATTATGCTGACTTCTCATGGATTATGCAACTTCGGTCATGAACCGATCGCGAAAGAATGCATCCACGGGCGAACTGCACAAAGTTAGTGAGCTGCCCCATCAAATTACCCAACCTGTCCTCTCCAACTAGTTCATCTAGAGGTCAACAGTTAGTTGTTTGCTGTCAACCTGCTTCTCTCTCTCTCTCTCTCTCTCTCTCTCTCTCTCTCTCTCTCTCTCTCTCTCTCTCTCTCTCTCTCCCCCTTTTTCACGTACATCTCTGGGCGCATGTGCGGTCTCTATGTCTGTCAGCTGTATCAGCCTTGTTGTAACAGGGTTTCGTCTGTAGTTTTGTTTCTTGCTTGGAAGTCGGCCTTCTGTTGGTTGTTTTTGCCTTTTGCTCGGAACTTGGTTTGTTGTAAGAGGCTCTCTTGAACTGTAAAATGATCATTGCAGAACTCTAAGGCTGTGTTGTAAGTGGGTTTCATTGATTGTTTTGTGGTTTGGTTGGAAGCCAGCCTCGTGGAAATGAAAAGAATTGCTGAACTGTAGTTCCATGACAAATGCGTAAAGCACAGAAGCTGACTTTCAGCTCATATCTGTGGTTGAGCATTGTACCGAAACTGTTTTTAATATCGGGTCCCACAGTGGCTTGGGATTTCAAGAAAGGTCCTCCAAATTACAGAAAGTCGGTATTTGCCTTCATGCTAGGTAACATATGATGTTCCTTTTATATCTGGTGAAAAGGTGGCATGAGATTTTGCAAAATGTCCTCTAAACTGTCAGGAAGTCCATGTTTGTCTTCACGCAAGATGACAATTGATGTCCATGTTCTCTCTGCGTCATCGCAAAATGGGGCTTCTTTGTTTTTTATTTTTGCCCCTTTTTCCCTTTGGGCATGCAGGTGACATCTCATCGAAGAGTGGGGCAACTGGAGAATGGTTTTCAAGTGCGCATCGCAAGAGTATGTTGGGGATACGATTATTGAAGGGTCACAAAGGTGCAATCACAGCCCTCCATTTTGGCGGGAAGAGTGAGGCAGAGTACCAGGATGAATCTGGATACTTTATAAGTGGATCTGTTGACACAACGGTGGGTTTTGTTTTTGTCGTTTTTGAAGTTTTTTCCTTTGCCGCAACGTCGAGTTTTTTCTTTTCCCTGTGAGATCGCCGAGATTATTTATGGAGTTTTCAGTATGTCACTCAACCCTGAGCACCCTCATCAAGCCTGATGTACTGTTGAAATAATCTCCTGTTCATGTGTGACTGTCGCACTCTGACTGGAATGGATGTTTGAGTCATCTGCTACTTTCGGTGGACATGATAGCTTATGAATCTTTATGATTTTTTTTTTTATGTTTTGTTTTCTGTTCATCTGGTTGGGTCTAGGCTTGGACTCCTGTCTGTATTTCGAGAGTTGATGGTTGTACCAGCTGAGCTAGGATCGTTGGTGGTTGGTTATGATTGCTATTATGCCTGTTCCTGCCATAAACGGACACTGGCCTAGGTGATTGAGGTGGTAAGGTTATCCTTGCTTCTCTAAGGGCATACTCACACTGGGCCCTTATAATCGCAGAATGCCAGAATCGCAAAATCAGCAGCCAGATTGAGTCGGACTCAATCTGCCCTCTGATTTTGCAATTCTCCAATTATAAGGGCCTGCCTGTGTGAGTAGACTCTGAGTGTGTTCGGTTTACCCTTTTTCCATCAAAGTCCTGGATGCATTTGCTTACAGTTTTCTTTTTCTTTTTTTTCTTTGAAAACCCCGCCGGGCCACTAGGGGGGAGGGGGGTGATATGAGCAGCCCTCCCTGGCGAACCCTAGAGGCAGCATGGAAGGGTTTGTGTTTGAAGTAGCACTTCTAGGTTATCTATCCTCTCTCCACTAAGTGCATTCAGTCCTTTTTCCATCAAAGTCCTGGATGTGTTTGGTCACAGTTTTCATTTTTCATTTTTTTCCTGTTTCTTTCTCTTTGAAACCCCCGACGGGCTGCTGGGGGGGTGATATGAGCAGCCCTCACTAGCGACACCTTAAAGACAGCATGGAAGAGTTGGTGTTTCAAGTAGCACTTCTAAGTTATCTATCCTCTCTCCACTAAGCACATTCAGTTTGCCCTTTCTGTGTTAAAGTGCCAGATGGATTTGCTACCAGTTTTGTGTTGATACCCACATGGAAGAGTTGCTGTGTTCATGCCCACAAGTCCTGTCAGGAAGAGGAGATCGTGACGAATAAGAATAGGACGTTGTTCAGAGCAATCGGCATTGGGTCTATCATTCTTTGTCCTCGTTTGCTCAGTCGGCAGAGTCGTCATACCAAAAGAGTCTTTGACTCTTTGGGTCTTCCCTGTTTTCAGTATTTTGTGTATTTGGCTCTTTTACGGTGCGGCAACGTGGGGAGGACATCGGAGAGGGGGAGGAAGACAGAGGGCATGGGAAAATGGAAGAACTGGGGGTAGGGAGGGAGGGATGCCAGACTTGCAGAAGCATATGCTATAGTGGTCTCCCTTGCATCTCTTTCTAGCAGATTTCGTGGAAACGAAAACCTTACGAGACGGGACTCACAAGTGAGGAGCTGACTCATATATTACTCTGTCAACCACAGCCCATGTGTCCTCAGCCCAGGATCATTACACGGGACAGGCTGTGATTAAAGTTAGGCTCAGATCAAGTGTGGTATATTGGTTCAACATCTGGTCCTGACTACAAAAAACGTACAAAAAAAAAAAAAAAAGTTGGGCACAGGGGAAAGGGACACTGGACCCGGTTCCCAGTATGAGCCTAATCTGGGTAATGGCACCAGTCGTCCGGGTTGAGATGTGGAGGGATTCCCGGGCTCCTTTTGCTCTATATTTGACGATATATAATGAAGCATGCTATTTGTTAAAAAAAAAAAAAAAAAAAAGTTGGGCACATCCAGCAAATTTCGGGAGGTGGTATGCTCTGACCATTGGTGGGCATTCTGAACAATTGATGCTTTCACCCGTCTGAGGACCAGCTATATGTTTGTGGCCGTGACATGGCCGCAATTCCCATTATCAGCAAGTGCAGTTTAGACATGTGGCATTGTGATGAGTACGTCACTCGTGTTCCAGGCCTCTACATGACAAATTGTGTGCTGTATGTTACGATCGTGCTGATTGTGCAGGTGCGATTATGGAATCCTGAGACCAAAGGCCATGATCAGCAAGTGGTTGTTATGCACGGTCACAACAGGTAACGTCTGTTTAGGCTGCCGGAGTGGCCCAGGACCACTTGCCCGGCCGAGCCAAGAATTTTGCTGTGACCTGGAGGCAAAAGTTGCTCAGTTTGTTCTCTGCATAACATAGTTTTGTTTCGTTTTTTTTTGGATTTCTTTTCTTTCTTCCTTCTTTTTGCAGGGACCTTCCTTGGTCCTTTCCCAGCCGATTGCTTTTCTTTCTTCTTCTTTTTGCAGGGACCTTCCCTGGTCCTTGGCCAGCCGATCCGCCTCGGTTGGTAGCCCAGGTATATGTTTGTAACTGTGTTTGTTTGTTAGAAAAATAAAAATACAAATAATTGAAATTATTTAATTGTGAGGTCCCCGGCCTTGATCTGTCTTTGGAATGCAATTTTCCTCTTTTTTTTTTTCACAGACTTGGTCTTTTCTATTATTAATTCTGGAAATCAGGTCCAGCGTCACTTAGATCAAATGTATCTGTTTGGACCTCTCCAGATCCCTCTTCTGTGTATCTGTTTGGACCTTTGACAGCTCCAGTGTAACTAGCTATGTTTACTAAAGTTTGTAACTCGCCAAGTTGTGTTCAAAGCTACGTTACTAGGTCCACCTGGCCAATTTGGGTGGGCCGGAAAGCGCCCCCAGGAAAGTTGAGGAAACTTTTTCTTTTTTTTTTTGGCTGATTGCTGTGTATGAATGTGTTAGTAGAGGACATGCAGAATGCGTCTTTTAAGGGGGGTGGGGGTGAGGAAAGGGATCTGAATGAGTTTGGAACTTTGGAGGGGCGTAAACCACCAGTACCTCTGAGTCACTTTCTCTTGATGTAGATTTCTAGTGCACGCCAAAAGAAACGAACTGGCATGGGTGTGTTTTTCTCTTTTTTTTGGACTTATGCTGCCAGCCATTGTTGTCCGGTAGCACTATCTGTCCGCAAATCGTGGTTCTATACAAGTATTTGAAAACCTTTGCCTGTCAAAGGTACTTGTGGTTCAAAGGGGTGAATACGCTGTGTATTAGTGTGTAATGATTTCCTTATCTATTTTACTTTTTGAAGCTTTTGTCTTGAAAATAAAGAGGTGCAAGGAAAATGAGCGATAGCGAAACTTCAGAAATCAAACAGCATTATACACCTGAGACCAGACAGTCGTGACCTCGAACCAATAGCAGAATCGCATCACGAGTTCCACCAAATAAGAACACAGCAAAAACTCATAATTGATAATGCTGGAATAGTCTCATCATCATCAACGAAGAACCAATGTCGATATCCTATCTGGCGCTCGGCGCCCAGACTACAAATGGCAGATCCTATCTAGCCTATCTACAATGCCGCTGATGACGTCAACAGCTCCCCGAAGTACGAGCAGATCTCGGCCAATGCCGTACGCTTCAAGCACCAGGTGTGTCTCTCGTATCACTCACAACCTCGTTCCTCAGCTCACAGATGCCACATGCACCCAAGGACCACCATGCGCCCCATCCAGCATACAGCAGCGCAGCTCGGCTATGGCTGCCTGCTCCTTCCAGCTCGCCCGTGAGCGCGTGAGCGCTGGCCAGTGTTAGCGCAGCATGCAGCCAGTGCCCGAATGCCAAATGTGTGGGCAGGCGCTTTCCTAAATGGAAGTGGCCTGCCTGCTTGCGTGCAGCTTGGCGGTGCTGGGCCCCTGCCCAGAAGCTTCCGGTAGGCCCAGAGAGGCCGAGCCCCAGTCCAAAAAATTCAGGGCCTGGGCCTGTGGTGGTTGCCCGTATCCAACTGCCCGCGGCCTGTGTTCGGTCCATGTTGCGAATCTGGCCCAGGGCCTGCCTCAGTTACATGGAAAAGAGGCGGCCTGGGCCTGGGTGCTCTCAACCAACTGGCGCTCAACTGCCTGAATTTCCCCAGTTGCGTGGTGACCCCAAAACTGGCCTGTAGGCCTCAGTCGAGCCTGCCTTCACTTAGGGCGGCCGACTGCGCTGAAGATAGGGCCCAGTAGGGCGTATAGACGCCTTGTGCCTTGCAGAGGCAGTTAGGTGATCCTCAGCCAAAGGTTGTTTGTACGCTATGCGTTTTTCCGGATTATTTTGATTTTCTTTTTCTTGTTTTTTCGCACTGGAACTGCTGGATATGTTGCCTGGGTCTTGCCCGACTAAGCCCGCCCGGGGGTGCGACCCGAGCAGACTCCTGTGGTCCTCTGCTGCCGGGATCGTAACATAGGTTCGGAGTCTCGGAGTCTTCGGACAGTTCCCTTTCTCCTGTTCTTGGCACGGAGCTGTTACAAGTTGCAATTTCCTTTTTTTTTTGTTTTTGATTGGGACCTTTTCCCCCTTGGCACTTGTTTGTTTTTGGGACCTTTCCCCTTTGGAACTTGGCTGTAGTTGTGATTGAAGCTCCAGAATGTTCCGTCACCGGCTGCATCGCGGCATTTCAGGTGATTGATGGATTGTCTGTGTGTCCACTCTCTCACTTACGATCCGTTTGTTCGTTTTCTTTTGCCTTGCAACAGGGCAGTGAGAACAATCTACTCTGACAAATGTCGAGTTGTGTCGGGTGGTGATGATAAGATGGTGCTTGTATGGGACAAGAACAGCGGGCATCTACTTGTGCAATTCCCTGGCCACGAAGCAAAGGTACCGCCACCAGGTCTCCAGGTCTCCATGTATTTTGTTTGTGAAAAAAACTTTGCGTGTTATATCTGACGGCGTGCACAATGCCACAGCGAAACAAGAATCACGACTCTCGAGCAGGGGATGAAAAAGAAGGGCACACCACTGCCCATGGGCCTCGCTCCACTAATCAACATTTTACATGTCCCTGGGCCTGAAATTCGACCAGATACATTCAGAATTTCAGACAGATAGAACATTTTGAATGTACTGAGATGCATTGAGAAAGTTGTGCAGTGGAGCAAAGCCCAATGTCTTCCATCTTTGCCCGAACTGATCACGCCTGTGTAAGGGCTTCACTGAATGCAAGCAACTGCCAATGGCCTCACTCCACCACTCACCACATGCAAAAAGGACAAAAAGTCTGGAGGTGTTTCTTTCCATGTACTGGTGGAAGATTCATTTGCATTTTGCACATTTGGTGAGTGGTGGAGCAAGGCCCAGTGTCTGCCACTCTTTCCCCCGGGTTACTGAAGGGAATGCAAAGCTCAAGCTACCGTCTTCCCCCAAAAAAAAACATGGTTTTTTTAACTTTTTTTTTTTTAATGAATAAAACAGGTCCTTATGGTCCTGGCTCCTTTTCCATTCTGGGGAGCATCAGTCCGGTTCCTATTCCGCCGGCAAGTCAAGAATGAATACATCAATATACACGTTCACGCTTCGTTCCTCAGGGGGTAGCTGAATTGTGCCAGTCTTTCCATCTGATTTGTAGGGCGTGAATGTCTGCTATCTTTCCCTGGACCAGCCACACCGTCCTGAACTTACCTATCATTTCCTGTTGTTTGTCAGGGACCTGCTGAATTTGAAGCTTGACCATCTTCCATTGGCAGCGATGTCAGCCTCCATGCGGATTTTCGTTGATGCCCATACTTGTTCCGACGGCATGCTGGAGTTGTCAATGGTCCGACTGCACCTCTCCTTCCATATGACCCAAAGTGTTACCTTTCTGATTATCCCGAACCAGATGCGCTCCGCGGAACTTGTTGAATTGGGAGGGAGGTTAGTCCATAGGAGTAGCTGGATGGGGTGTTCAGGTAAGGGAGAAGGAAATAGGTGGTCCCAGAGAGCTGCGGCTCTCGCCCATATGTCAGTAGCAAAACTGCAAGTTATTGGACAGTGTAGCATGTCCTCTTGTTCGTTACCAGAGCATGTGACTCATTGTTCTGAGGGGCGTGTAACCATGTGTTCACTGGGATGGCATTGTAGGTGAATCATTGAAGACTTCTGATTTTGACTGGGCGAATTGATTTGTATTTCTCCAGGGGAATTTGGGGATTGGTTCCATTCTCTGACCCTAGCAATTTGGTCCATCTTTCCTTGATAACCGGCTCCAGGTCCTTCGTTTTTAGTAGCATCCTATATCCCATTTTGACTGTGTACTGCGTTATCGAGATGGGTGTTTTGCAAAATCTATTGCTACTCGATAGCCAAGCCCATTCTTCTGGGTCAAATTCTAGGTTCTGGATTGGTGTTTCGGCTTGGAATATTGTTTTTTGGCCACGTCCCCAAAACTCTTATTTTTCGAAGTGTGTATGGATTGAGGGTTGCTTCGTGTGGGTCAACATTGTTGATGGTGAGAGTTTTGGGATTGGAGCGATCTAAGGGAAGGAGGTGAAAACTGCCGATAGGTCAGCAACCGAGGATCTGCGATAGAATTGATAAGCTTTCTCCGTTATAGCTTCCTGACTTAAGACTCCCCATTCCCCCGCTTTCCATGTGAATTCTTCCTTTAGAAGATCTTTCCAGCCATCTGGGATGCTATTAACCACAGTAGTCAGATTTTCATCTCTGTTGTGGCATCCTTTCAGGCGTTGCCTCAGTTGATCTTTATCTATCCATTCTTTCCTCTCTTCGTCCCATATGTGTGCTACTCTCCAGATTCCATGTTTAAACCATGAAAGCCACCGCTGTCCATTAGATAGGGACAGGGGTAAGTCTCCCGCGTCTCTTATGCATTGGTTTCCGAAAAGGGGCTGTCGTGTAAAACCTCTTCTTCTTTTTTTTTTTTCCTTTTTTTTTTTCTTTTTTTTTTTCAAAGAACTTGGATCATTTCTCGATTTATGCGTGTCATCCATGCGCAGGGGCCATGCTAATGTTCTCTGTATCGTTCCAATTTTAACGGATGTCCCGAAGGACATAAGACCTCTTCTTTAGACTTTGGTTTTCTGACTTTTTTTGGCAGGATGCTTCTCCAGATCCGGATGAGGGCCGACCAGTAGGGGGTTGGAGAGGTGACTCCACTTTGTTGTGAAGTCGGCCTCTGCCTTCTCCATCAGAAGACCAACACTCGCTCACATAGACTTCCAGGTATGCCCATACATGCACAGAAGGAAGGGGAGACGATGGCAGTATCACACCTCACAGTCACAAAGGAAAGCCGAGTAGATCACATCCAGAAAACAATGAAGCAAAGATAGTCCACACCAGGGCTGGTCCCCGGTCGGACCGGGGGCCCCTCCCCCACCCGGGAGCCTGCCGGTCGGACCGGCCGGTCGACCGGCCCGGCAGACGCCCGGTTGAATCCAGCGCATTAGGCTGGACGGGGGTTACCGGGCAGTGACAGGTATCCCCACGACTGTCCAGCCCGCACGAGGCCGCGGGCTGCCAAAAAAAATAAAATGGGGCTTTTTGGGCCCCACTTCTAGGAAACAACGAGCGGAGAATCTCCGCCGCTTATCTTTGCAGATCAGCGGAAACGACCGCGGCGCGCGTTTTCTCAAAAATTGGGGGGTCAGCAGGCCCCACATTTTGATTTGGCATAGTGTGGTCCGACAGACCACGGACCAGTTATCATTGGCATGACATACTCGTCCATCCCCAGCCACGAAGGAATTACTATGGAAGAGCAGTGGCTCTCCTGAGGTTATATGCTTCTGCAACATCACTAAGCTCTGGGGAAAGAGTTATGGGTTTGGGTTTCGGCTCTGTCTGAGGTGCAAGCCCAAGAATGGACCTAAGCTATATTTTTCTGTCAATCTATCTAGAATGCACGTGGCTCCACTACATGTATCTGGACAGACTAGCAGGCGAGATACTTTCGGACTGAGGACACTGATGACCCAGCGTATTGAAAACAAAAAAACAACAGAAAACGCTCTGTATTTAAAACAAAAAAGACAAACAAAAAACGCTCTGCCTGCACGAGCTGAAACCTGCACCTATAACTTTTCGGCCGTCGAGCTATACTCTGGAAAAGGTACAAGTTTTGGCAAAGATCCACTTCTATTGCATCTCATTCAGGCTGCAGGACTCCGACGGCCGTTGGCATAGTCCAGAGTGCCTTCTGCTACTGAATTGAAGTCCGTGGGCCATGGGGGGTCGGATAAGTAGTATTGCTTACTCTACCCCTCCCCCTGAAAGTGGCACCTCCGTGAATGTCCCAATACTATCCCCACCTACCCCTGGGGCACCCCCCCAAAAAAATAGGACCTTAAAAATTTTATTACGGATTTCGACAGCTCTTGAAGAGCGCAGTCAGAATCCGGCAAGAAAAAAAAAAAAAAAAGAGAATTAGGCTTTATTTTTTGAAAACCGGTTTCCCGGTTCACCCCCCCGGGCTTGGTCCGGCTCCGGTTCAACTGGGCAAGCTGAACCGGCCGGTTGCCGGCCCAGCCCTGGTCCACACACAGTAGCAATACTGTTTATTAAACGCAGAACTTCGTTTTGTCAGAATTACCCCAGAACCATGGTGCGCTGCTCAGAAATGAGCAGCGCTTCTTCCCCCAACCCTGAATAACCGCTATCACTGGCCCTGAGTCCCTGAAACAACAAGCGCCACCCAGATACTGCCTCCAGAGGGAAGCGCCACCATGAAACAGGCCTCTGAGGCCAAGCGCCTCTCAGAGGATGAAGAAGAAGACCAGCGCCACAGGCTCTGATGATGATGAAGTGCCAGAAGGTCTCTCTGATGAAGATCTTCGGCAGCGCCACCTTCCTGACAAAGATGACCTCGGGATACAAGCTGCAGCTATGGCTGCAGCGCCTCTAGCCTGAAACCCTACTCCTGAGGAGGGTCCGGCAGGGCACCAACTTCTCCTGCTCCCAGCAGACCTCAGCTAGCCCAGACCTCTGGACAGCCCCGCATGCTGTCAAAGAACAGCGAAGGTCCCAGCTATGGCCGACGCTTTGAGGGGCTGGCTATGTCTGTCTCCTTCAACGCTGAAGCTGTACCACTCCAGTTCATGTGTTGCATCCCGCAATGTGCACCGTACCAACTGCCAAAATCCCCGGAACGGACCTCCTAATTCTATTCATAGTCTACCCTAGCCTAGACACGACCTAGACCGGACTGACTAGACTGACCGGTACCATTTCGGTTTTGTTCCCTAGGGCCTCTCCCTACCCGGCTATAGGCTATAGGACCAGTCTAACAGCATAGGGCCGTAGGCCTGTCTGTCCTAGTTGTAGCCCGGGTCTGCTATTCGCAGTTAGGGTAGCTGTAGGAAATTCAAGTTAGTGTGGGCCTGAAATTTTCCCGAATTTACAGACATGTCCCTCACGAATTTTCCCCACAGGCAGATATCTCGGTTAGCCCTCAGCCAAACAAATTTACGAATCTAACCTACCTATGTTATAGCCTCGGTGCGACGAGCAGCAGGCCACAGAATTAGCAAGTCATTGCACGCAGCTAGGTGAATACCGTATTGGGGGCTCCAATGGTCTAGTTGTGAAGCGAGGTCGGAATTGTGGCTGTCATGTATTTCAACTTTCATCACCTTTGCACAGCGAAATTCACGAAAGGGGTCAGGCATTCATTTAAGGTAGTTAGAACTCGGCATTATTGTTTTTGAAAGACATTGCAGGGCGATATGTGTGTGTGTGTGTGTGTGCCCAAACGGCTTAGTTTTTCCTGTGCTCGACTCGATCATTTGTAAATCACACTGATTCACACATGTGAACCAAATTTGTTATTTGCCATCTCTTTGACTTTTTTCCTGTCTTTTCTTCTTTCTCTTTTCTTTTCTCCTTTTTTCTTATGTTTGTAATAACCCTGTTCAGAAGTACCCTGGGGCTCAGAACTCAGCCCCAGGCCACGCAGACCTGAGAAGGTCTGCGCTGGGCTGTGTGACCAAGACACGCCCAGGCCTGAGTCTGTCGAGTGTGGCTGTGTGACCGCACGCTGCACACAGGAAATTCAAGAGTCAAAGT